GGGAGACTGATAGGGGAAAGAGAGGAAAGGGAAGAAGAGGCAGGAAGGCAGGAAAGTGAGGGGAAGAAGGAAGAAGGAGGAAAGGCCAGGAGAGGGAGGAAGGGAGGGAGGGAGGAAGGGAGGAGGGAGACAGAAAACCCAGGCTACTACTTATTTTCAGAGCTGTTGTAGATGACCGCAGATGAACTCTCTTCTCAGAGAGCCATGGGGAAGAATGTCACATAATCTTTCCCAACAATGTGTTCCAGAGCGTGACCGCCCCGTGTGAACAGACATGTTATGGCGACCATAGACCTTTAGATAATCTAATCTTTACTTTGGAAGACCAAGTTGCAGCAAGGAAAGCAATGTGTTAAAGAGAATTTAATCTGATTAAATTAAGATAGCACACATGTTTAAAAAGCCATGTTCGGTAGTTAAGCAAAAAAAACAAAAAAGTGATATTATCCAGCAAATATTTTGAATAATGTAATGAAATGCCATTTTGTTTTTCATTAAGAGCCCTTAGAAGGCACAAATATGAACTTTTCACCTATTTTTAATTCCCTGTTACATTATATAAATGAAATCATTGCACGTTTGCTAAACCAGAACACCTTTCTAACTTTTCTTAGCCTCTTGAGGTTGATGAATTGTTTATTGTTAAGCAGTTTGGTTGCCATAAGGAAATGTTCTAATGAGACTTTGGAAGCTAAATATGAAAAGTCTCGTGGATTTGAAAGAATACAGTGCATTTGTTGAGAGCGGTTTATTCAGATTCAAACAATGTCACTAATGTGCCATTTTTTACACATATCGCTAAATATCTTCATAATCTCAACTCACAAGGCAGAGGCAGCCAGCATTTTTCTATACTATTTCTGTTGGCACTCAAGGAAAAATATGTTTTAAAAGAATTTTGAGGCCAGGCGTGGTGCCTCACGCCTGTAATCCTAGCACTATGGGAGGCTGAGGCGGGCGGATTGCTCAAGGTCAGAAGTTCGAAACCAGCCTGAGGGAGACCCCACGTCTACTAAAAATAGAAAGAAATTAATTGACCAACTAAAAATATACATACAAAAAATTAGCAGGGCATGGTGGCGCATGCCTGTAGTCCCAGCTACTCTGGAGGCTGAGGCAGGAGGATCGCTCGAGCCCAGGAGACTGAGGTTGCTGTGAGCTAGGCTGATGCCATGGCACTCACTCTAGCCTGCGCAACAAAGTGAGACTCTGTCTCCAAAAAAAAAGAAAAGAATTTTGATATTCTTAAATATCTGCTAGAGGGAAAATGATGATGCGAGAGGAAGCACAATTCCATCTAATTTAAGTTAGATTTCGAGATTTTAGGAATAAAGGAAAATATGGCTCTCAGTTCTAAATCGCTTGGATACTAGGACAAACAGAAAAGTTTTAAAATTTTGTGTTGTTTACTTCTGGATGGACTAAGCAAATATGAATGGGCTCAAAAATATTTTAGTAAACTTTAAATATAATGTTTTCTTCTTTAAAGGGTGCGAATACAAATGCCCACACAACTCCTGTTCCTGACTTTAAAGGAGAAACTTGAGGCTTTTCTATAACCTGTAACCCCAGCTACCTACTACGGAATGTGACTCTTCACTATGTATGTGTGTATTTTACATATGGATATTTCCTCACCTGGCAGTCCCTGGCAAACAGGCAGAATCCAATAATTGTTTGATGAGCTGAAATTTGTAATTAGCACTAAGAAGTGTTATTTGAACGAAAGGATGTAAGATGGCCCACGAGTAACGCCCCTTTTGTTGGCCGGCACAGTTCTTCAGTATGCATGTTAGCATGAAATATTGGAAGGCCAGTCAGTCTTGGAGTCTGTTCAAAGAAATAAAATGTTGCTCTCTTTAAATTGAGTAACTACGCCAATTTCAGGGACCATAAATATATACTGTATACAGCAAGTAGCATTTAATGACTGAAAACCAGAACACACACTTAACCTTTACATCAACCAGGTCCCTGCTTTTCCTAAGCAGAGAGTCTTGGATGGGACTTTTTACATCCATCGAAAAAAAAGAAATGTTAAGTTATCATTTTTATATGGGAGAAAAGTGTATTTCATTTTCTTGGAACTTAAAGATTGTTCAGTTGATTTTCCCTCACATTTTTCAATAAAAAAATGGGCAGGGATTAAACATGGAAAGTTTCCATTTGACATGATTTTTTCAACTGCATATAGGCTATGCGAATGGAAATCATTTCCTCACTGCGCTTGAGTCTTTGGATGAGACTGTCTTTGAGTTCTTTTCTGGAAACACTTCCTACAGGTGGAATCTTACGAGCTTTGAGGTACTTGGGCTAGTAATTGCCTTAGCTGAGGTTCAAGATAACCCTATCTTGCTGATTTTATTTGTGCAACAAAGGATGTCGTATCACATGCTCAGACTATTAGGAGCAGCATTAGTGGCTACCCAACAGATACCATAGGATACTAAACAGGCTAAGCTAGATTACTCAAACTGAACTGACCAGCACATACTTTTTGAAAATGATTTTAGTTTATACTTTGGGAAGTATGTGTAGAAACATCACACCTCTACTGACCAGCAAATTGTTTTAAGAAAGTAACAGCAAAAGATTTTTTAAAAAAGAAAATTTAATAAAGAGGATGGTGAATTTGTTCACCCAATGAGAGGAGGAAGAGCAGAATAAAAAGATGAATATTAGAGTTGGGAAGAGTAATGGAGAGAATTTATATATAGTTCTCTCCTAGCATGGCTCCTTTGACCAAACTTTAGCCAGGCCCTGAACCTTCTCCAAGGCCTATCTGTGTACTTCCTGGTAAAATCCAGTTTTAGCAAGAACCCTTCACCCTCAATATCTAGTTGGGTTCCTAATCCCCCGTCATCCCCGGGTGGTGTCTGATCATTCTGGCCTGTCCTCAGCAGGAATTCTGTTAAGTGGGTTTAGCCAGAATCCTCCTTGCTCCTGATGCTTCCTTTAGTATCAATAATTTTCCATCCCCCAACCCTCACCCACCCTGCTCCTTGGCTACAAAGGGCTAGCTACGTGCCCAAGCTGTCTCCCCCATAGCAAAATCCCATCGTTGTGGTCCCTATACCTATCTCAAAGGTCTTGAATAAAGTCTGCCTTACAGTGCTTTAACAAGAATCATGAATAATTTTTTTCTTTAGCACTTCTTCCAATTTATGTCACCAAAATGAGTTCTAGGAAAACAAATCTCTTGTCAAACTTACTCTGTGATGAAGAGAGCTGGGACTTCAATTCTTAACTTCATTTTATTTATCTATAATAGGATACCCTAAATTAATATAACCCTAGGCATCCTGAAATTTTTAAAGAACTGCCTGAAACTGAGCATGAGACATTTAATCCTATAGTGAAAATGGAGCTATTCTTCAATATGCTGATGCTAGAGATGGCAGCAGAGGGAGAAAGAAAGGAGAAAATGGGGTTATTAAAACATAGCTAAAGCAGGTGGTACAAAAAAAGGGACTCGAACATAGTTTTAGGACTAATAGTGAAGTAGATGAGTTGAAAGCATAGCATCCAACAAAGAAAAGGTTAAACATAAAATGATACTACGTGTCGTTTAATGCCCACGTAGTGGTAGAGAATGGCATGGAAACAGCAGAAATGCAATTCAGGATATTGGCTGCATCTAAGGGAGGGTGACGGTTCAATGTGGGAGGGGTAAGTAGGATATTCAATTATAATAATATTTCATTTTTCAAGCTGGCAATATTATTCTTTAAACCTGTGCGTATCTTAAATATTGCACCGTAACGTTTTACAAGGTTGTGCAAGACCGATCTTCAATTCAGGATGTGTCTGTAGGCTTTATGCACACCTCTGCTTCCTGTACCTCTTTTCCCATCTTACCACCCAAATACTGGTTTAAGAGACAAAGATATGATATGAATGTTATTTAAGTTGTTGAAATGTAGTGTTTCATATCATGAGGCTGATTTGTAGACTTGTTATTAGTAGCCTCTCTTCCTTCTCTCACTCCAGCTCTCACTACCTATTTCCACCTGATTCGTCGCCCCGTACTTCTGCTGGGTCCTGGCACAGGTAGGCCACACACTCACTGTCCCACACAAACTCGGATGGGTCGCTGTCACTCTCACCTGCTTGCCTGCCTGCATTTCTCAAAGATGGAGAGAACCCATTCCACTGGGTTCAAACCTCTTCTGGCATAAACTATATAAATTCTAAGAACTTCAGATTTTTCAGCAAGCAATTCATATAATATATTCTTCCTTATAATTTTGATACATCCACATATACAGAAATTGAGTGCTTACAGTTCTGAATGCAAACAACAACAGGAACACAAATGACCATCCACTTTAGTAAGAGTAATCATGTTCTGTTGACCTGGAGCACTAACAGGGACACTGTTACCTTTTCACTGAGACCGTCTCAGGCCTCTGACTCATAAAATTCTGTTGAATGAACGTTCTGAGGGTGCCTGCTGTGCACCAAGCACTCACTGCGCCCATTCAGCTCATGGTTTCATGCCCACGTGAGGCAGCTCCCCGTCTCTTTCACGCAGCTCCTGTTATATTTGAGCCATCAGAAGAGAAAAGTGATATTCTAACTAGGCACAGCCAGATAGCCATCGAGATTTAGAGATGTCATAGGAATATTCTTCAGTCAAAAATCTCATGAAGTCCGAGGCTAGGTGAGGCACCGCGCGGCGTCCCAGAGACAGCGTGGCAGCAGCCCGACTTCTCGGCAAGGACCGTCGGGCTCTGACTGCAGATGCGGCAGTGGAGGCTAATTCTGCGCCATTCAGGAAGGAAAAAAACAAACAAACCTAGTTGCCAGTATAGGTGTCACAAAAGAGACATTAGGATCAATCTCTTATTTTCTTTCCTGCTCTATCAAACCAGCACTGTGACCTGTGCCAAGAGGCAGCAAATACAGCAGGACAAGGGGACTACGTTAACGTTACAGCTGTGGCACCACGAAGGACATGCAGTGGCAGGGCCAGACATCACAAACTCTAGAAATCCTGGAAGTACAAGCTCTGCTTTAAGATGATCACCTAGGAAGGACTTACACAGAGTTTGGCTTTCCTGCTGGGCCGCCCCTGCGAGCCTTGAGGTTGATGACATAAGCGCAGGTGCCCTCATTCCCCTCTGCTGGTCCCAAATGCCATTTGCACGGAGGCGATTTCCCGGAGGCATCCCTCTTTTACCATCCATCTATTTTGGCTCAGCTGCCTGTGGCTTCATGAAAGTCATTACTCAAAACAAGGAATAGCTACACCACAGAAGTCCGAGCTTTTCCACATGGCCGGTCGGGAGGGGCAGCTGGGAATTTGGCTAGATGTGGACTTCTCATGGGATTATGATGGACAGAGCCACACCCCCAGCAGCTCTGTGACTCAGAAACTGAGAGCATCATTCAGGGATCAGTGGACTCTGATAATGAGTCTAGTGTTACTCTCTGTTTATTTGATGTCACCTCGGGCTAGTTTCCAGGCAGCAGTATTGATGAGGGAAGAGGTGGTTGACAACTGAGGCAAGATCCCTGAGGAGCTTCTCAAGCTGTAAGTTGGTTTTCAAATAGCACATGGGACAGCAAAGGAGTTCCACGATGATATTATGAGGATGGTTAGACCATGTGAGATGTAGATTTTTAGTTTTAAACTGATTTTTTTCTTTAAAATGTGCCTGTTTGTAAGTTACCTATTTTCCCCTTCAGACTTCTATGCTTTTCCTATTGGTTTGAAAAGTCATGTCTTTATATTAATATATGTGTACTATGTTTGTTACTCTGTAACAACTATAAAACATGCACTACTTTAGTCTAGACACAATAATAGTATATTTCAGTTCTCACAAGAACCTTATAAAGATGATGATATTGTCATCACTGTTTTACAACTGAAATTAACTCAGGGACATTGAAGAAGTTATTTAAAAACACACAGCAATTATGTGAATGGTCATATTGTAACTAATGGGATCTAATTATTATTTAGTTAAAATCTTTAGCCTTTAAAGCAACTAGATATTTTATCTATTTATCCATTCATCCATTGATGGTTGATTTCATATCTTGGCTATTGTGAATAATATTGCAATAAACATGGAAGTACAGATATCTCTTTGGCATACTGATTTCATTTCCCCTGGATATATACCTGGTAGTGAGATTGCTGGATCATATGGTAGTTCTATTTTTAATTTTTTGAAGAACTTCCATACTGTTTTCCATAATGGCTGTACTAATTTATATTCCCACCAAACAGTGTGCAAAAGTTCCCTTTTATCCAAATCCTCATCAACATTTGTTATCTTTTGACACAACAGACTCCATTTAAATGCACTTTAAGAGCACATGTAAAGTGGGAAATAAATTCTGCTTGAAGATAAATAGACATTATAAACCATAGAATTAGTTTTATTTGGTAAGCTCTTTTTCAACCACTCTTTCCTTCTACACCACTACAAAAACTAACGCACTGTGTTATACTGCAATGAAACTGCGTGTCAAGCTACCCTTCTCCTTTACTGGTTTGTAAACATCTCAGGGGAAAGAAGAAACTTTGTTTTACTCATCTCAATATCCCTAGAATCTAGGGATATTGGACCTTAGAAACACTCAATAAATACTGAATGAATGAATGAATGAATGAATGAATTGTGGTCTTTTTTTTTTATTTCATTCATTAAATTACCTCCATTTCACCTACTGGCAACTTTTGTGAATCACTATAACACAGCCTGGGTATAGTATAAAAATGCCAGGAGGCTGAACCAATGATCGTGAGGCAGGGGAGAAAGGTTCAGCAGTTTTGTTGTAGGATCACATTTTAACTTGTGTCCTTCTCATAAGCAGGTCCAAGTCAGGGCTTTTCTAACTGTGAAGCAAATCGCTCAGGTGTGTGCTGCTACAAAGAAAGATAAATCATCTCTCTAGCAATGTTAAGAAATAGTTTTATTCTTTCCACTATCTGTTATCCATGTTGTATTAATATTATTATAAATTATAGTAAACTATCTAATCCTTTAGAGATTAGGTAATGGCTTTTATGCTATCTTTAAGATTATGCTAATCTTAAACAGATATATTGAAATTTAGGAACTCATAGCCAAAGAGGTGAAGGGTCTTGATCATGGGGACACAGCTAGAAAGAGGTAGACTCAGACCTAAATTTTCTCGCTCCAGTATTCTTTCCACTGTGTCACAGATGCGAAACTCCAGGGTGGAGCACTCAAAGACGAAACAGGCACAGAATCTCCACCAGGTGCCCAGTCCGCCGGTGAGATTTTTGACCATGATTCTAGGTAGAAATTGGAGGTGGCTTCAGAGAAAGAAACACATATAACTTGTGATGGGAGGAGGATAAAGGGGTGAGAGCTGAGAGAGGAGGAAAGTGTTCATGGATTACTGAATAAACAGGACTTCTAGGATGCCGAGAATTTGGACATTTGGATTGGAGGGGAAGATAATCTTAAATTGAGGAAAGCACACAAGCAAGGGCAGAGCTTGGCTTGAGGATCAGGCAACCGTAAGTAGCTTAGTTTGGCAAGATCTTAAATGGGTGTAGTGCATGATGTGGTTGGGAAGGTTAGTTGGGGTCAGATTGTGAAGGAACTTGAATTCCAGACCAAGGCATTTGCATTTCCTAGCGAGGCAGTGATTGCCGAGGGCAGAGGTGTTCTGAGCGGACCCCTGAAACCATTGAGCAGGGAGAATAATATGCTTGGACTGCGGCCACTACTTGTATCCCCCATTTTTATCAAACCAAATATGTGTGCACCTGTTTCTTTGGCGGGTGTCAGAAAATCCTTTGATATTTCCCCCGGGTACTATTTTCCTTGTATACCTCAAAAGGGGAAACCGAAGATCCTATGAGCATTTCCAAGAAATGGCTGTCCCAGGGCAGTGAGCCCTGACTTCTGCCCGGCGAAACAGATCTGCTTTGAGCAGGGCGTGCACTGCGCACATTCAGTTGATAGCAATGGGAAAAACAGATATTCCATCTGTACAGCGATCAAACACATAAAATCACACAGGAATGTACAGTATGCTGGTTTGAACAACACAGGCTTTTGCTTCCACCAGAGAGAAAAGACCTGCCTGTTTTTGTCCCCTGGTAAGGACATTAGTGAGGGAAAGCTTTGATGTTTAAGCAATCATATAATTGACTCTACTGTTGGATCCAGAAATCTAGGGTTGGTTTCAGGAATGAACACTGAACATTTTTAATGGCACCGTGAATAAATGGAGGCATGCGCTGAAAATGTTAAGAAGATAGCCTTTATTTCTGAAATAGTGAGATTATGCAGATTTTGAACTTTACCTCTCAAAAGTCACATTGCTAGTGCTGCTGGATTTAGGTGTTAGGTACTATTCCCTTAGAAATTTTTCAAAAAAAAAAAAAAAACAGAAAATAAATAAAATCTCCTAGATTCTCAAATGCGGTGGGCAGAACATTTTGTGCAGGTTTTAATAGGACAGGGTAGCTGTAGAGGAGAGGATTTAGATGACTGCAGGAGGATACATCTGTCCTAGGATTTTTATGATTAAAATGGGAACCAATTCCTCATCCCTTCACTACACCCCATATATCCAGTGAATTTGCCTGGTCCTATCAACTCATCTTTGGCAAAACTACACCTATCTGTCCTTTTCTGTCACCAGCTTACCCTGGGACTCCATTGCCTTCTTCCCGAATTAGAGTAATAGTTTAATAGTTTTCTTTCTTTTTTTTGAGACAGTCTCACTCTGTTGCCTGGGTTAGAGTGCCGTGGCGTCAGCCTAGCTCACAGCAACCTCAAACTCCTGGGCTCAAGTGATCCTCCTGCCTCAGCCTCCTGAGTAGCTGGACTACAGGCATGCGCCACCACGCCCAGCTGATATATATATATTTATTATGAGAACATTTTATTTTTTATTTTTTCTAGCATATTGTAGGGGTACAAATGTTAAGGTTATGTATATTGCCCTTGCCCCCTCCTCGAGTCAGAGCTTCAAGCGTGTCCATCCCCCAGTTGGTATGCATCGCACTCACTATGTATGTATATACCTATCCCTTCCCCCCAACCTGCCTGTCACCCGATAAATGTTATTCCTATTTGTCCACTTAGGTGTTGATCCGTTAATACCAATTTGCTGGTGAGTACATGTGGGGCTTGTTTTTCCATTCTTGGGATACTGGGCATCTACCCAAAAGAACAAAAGTCACTCTATGAAAAAGACACCTGCACTCTAATGTTTATAGCAGCACAATTCACAGTTGCAAAGATGTGGAAACAACTGAAGTGCCCATCAGTACATGAGTGGATTAATCAAATGTGGTATATGTGTACCATGGAGTACTTATTCAGCTATAAGAAACGATGGTGATACAGCACCTCTTGTATTTTCCTGGCTAGAGCTGGAACCCATTCTATTAAGTGAAGTAACCCAAGAATGGAGATATATATATATATATTTTAGTTGTCCAGCTAATTTCTTTCTATTTTTTTTAGTAGAGACAGCTCACGCTCTTGCTCAGGCTGGTCTCGAACTCCTAACCTTGAGCCATCCTCCTGCCTCAGCCTCCCAGAATGCTGGGATTATAGGTGTACAGAGTAATAGTTTTCTAACTTGAATTCCTGCTTCCAGTTTTCTCTTTCCCCTAGCCAATCTACAAACCGTCTCTTCTTTCCCCATCCAACTTGCAACCATTCCAAACTAACGTTCTTAAAATACTCTTCTCTTTCTGGTTCTCCTCTGTCCACACCACCCCAGGGTTCCCTGTTGCCCACTGTATGGCCGGGCATTCAGGGTGCTCTTGATTAAGCACATTGAGGAGCTGATACTACTCCATTCTAGCGCTTGTCAACCCACAGCCTGAACTGTGCTACACTGTTCTCATTTTCCTATTTTACATTTTTCTGAAACCCTCCTCCCTATACCTCATTCTCTGATTAGTATGTTCTTTCCTCGAACCTTTCTGTTCATCAGCCTGAACCTCAAACTTCGACATGCTGACTCCAGTCTGCTTTGGTTGCTGCGCCTTCAGAATGCCTTTCCAAATCTATGCCTGACCTCCTAGCGCTGGCCCTGC